TTCTCACCTGATACTCTAAGGCAGCAATCATCTAACAATCACAGGGCGACGCGATTTCACCATTGTGCCGTTTCTTCCAACATATCCCCCAATGATTCCCCATGTATGGGTGGGAGCGTCAGTGGGGGAGGGGGCAGGGGGGATCGTGTTGCACACTGCATTGAGCGTCGCACATATGGCAATTCAGAATTCCCCACAACTCTTTCCGCAATTGCTGAGCTACGCACTTTTCTGCAAAACACAACGCAATGAGTTTAGGGCCTTAAGAGATTGCTGTGCTTGAGCGCCTCTTTACCCGGATCTCTTGTTTGAAACATACGTCTGGCAATTGAGCGAACCCAAGCAAATGCGCATCACCGGCGAATGTAAGTAGATCCTGCAGGGTTATGTTTTAATAATATTTGAATGTTGATGCCCAATGCCAACATGAAATGACCTGCAGAAGCATCCAGAATGGGCATTAATTCGAAAGGATATCCGAACCAGCTACTTTGAGCTTTTCAGTGAAAAGTGAGCTATTTTGGACACCAGGACAGCCCATGAAAAATAAATACGCTTAGGACAACCCACGGAACTGTGAAATGCGATATCGAGGCGACCATTAGCACGGTCGCCATTTCCATATCATATGGCATCCTGACGGAATTCCTGTCACATCAGGCCGCTCTATGTTGTCAGAACTGCCGAATAAACTTTTCTTTGTGGCAAATGACTGGGTGTTCCCAAAATTCTCGCGGCACAAGCCCTAATCAGGACACAGCGAACGACAACTATCGGGAAATAATGCTCGGTTCATAAAAATTTGAGCGACGCTCATCAAGAAAGAAAAAATGGGTCCCTGCTGAAATATGCAATCTCGTTTGAAATCGAGACAGTGACTGTACCGTGTGCCGCCTCCAGCTTTCGGGCTTCCAAATGAATTCTGCGCCACCGCCGCAGCATGGTTGCCGCCAAAAATGCGGCCAGGACCACCACGCCGGCGGCGGCCACACTCAACGCCACCTGGGCAAGAAATGGAGCTCAAAGGCTTAAAAATAGGTCTCCGGAATACGAGTTCGATGTGAAGTTTGCAGAGATAAACTTTAGGAAATTCAGCACAAGGGCGTTGTGGCTGTAGTCGCCTTGGAGGGTGATTAGAAAATCGATAGTCCAGAAGGGAGCAGCCGTCAGTTGCCTACCTTCCATTATAAAGCAGTGTCAATGTTCTTTTCAATCGAACGCAAGGCACTGCAACAGTGAAAAGGAGTCCACCAATTCCTGATTTTCAAGATGGATTGTCGATGGCGATGCTGAAATACATCAAAATCCGTCGATTACATTTGCCACGAAATGGCGAAACACAGCCCTTGCACCTGATAGGTTATGATGGGCGTGAAAACCTAACGAAGTGTTTGTTCAGAAGGACTTGTTCATGGTCCCATGGCCACAGAATTCCGGAACCCCGATTCGTACGCAATCCCAATGCTGAAATGCTGAAGTACAAGAGAACGATCAAAAGTTCGCGGGGGGACATAGTCAAACAGCGGTGTGGCATTGGCAGGAGGAAACATGCTCCTGCGGCTTCTGCGTATACCGCCAAAGGCACGGCAACGAAAGGGGCAGTGGGGCCCAATTTCGGTACGAAATTTACAGGGACTGAAGCTTTGGAGCCTGAAGCGCCGCAAGTCGCCTCGTTTGGACAAATGTAGTTGGAAGATTGGCACACCTGTTGGCTCACTGGCCTGTCCTCCACCCAGCCTCTTCCGCCAGACGCCCCCGTCAACCCCTCAGCGCAGTCGGTTGACAGCAGACCCTCCCGCGATCGAGCCGCGGCCATGTCATCGCCGGGGCTCAGCCGGCAGACAAGCACGCTGCTGCATATGTACAGGTTCCAGGAATCGGTCGGGCCCTCGGTCCCCGATGTGGACACCGCGGGCCTCAGGGCACCGAAGCTTTTCAGCAGGAGTGCATCGGCACCCAAGGCCGACACCGCCTGGGCTCCTCCGAAGAAGGGCGCCCGCGGAGCGGACCCAAGGGTTGCCGATTGCCGGCTGACGGGATGGGGGCAGCGGCCTGACGCAAACACGACGCCCAGGAAGGCCATCTGCGATTCCCCCGCTGGCAGGCAGAACGACGCCGCGAAGGAAGCGTCGAACTGGGGAACGAACATGACGACGTTCGAGAAGAGGAGCTTGCCGCCGGGCCGCGTCGAAATGGCGTGCAGCGAGTCGCCCCAGTCAATTGACGCGCGGCCCGCCGGCCCGTCGACGCCGATGACCGCCACATCGTGCTGGAGCCGGACCCCAGCCGCAGGTTCCGCTCCGGGTGATCCCGTCCAGTTCCAGACCCCTGTGGAACACTCCAGGTCGCCCTTGACCGCAATTGTGGTTGCCCCCCCCGCCAAGGCCGTGCGCAGTCCGCCGCAAGTCTGGACGACGGGGGCTACGCGTTCGGTCCCCCCCTGGCCGCAGATCGGCGCTGCGGCGGAGGCCAGGGCGACCAGGCTCGCAACGAGGGCTCGGGCGCACATGTCAGAATGATGGAAGGGCTGCCGCGGCTGGCGCTGAGTGGGGGCACGGTGCTGGCGGCCATTGGGTGCAATTCGAAACTGCCCAGGGCCGGCCCGGTATGCAAATCAAATGCAATTTGCAAAGGAGCCTCCTGAGATGCATTGTCAGTGAAATACGCTTTGGAAGGCTAAGAAACGCCTTTCAAGAATTATGGGATGTTATTGCAGTCCCGCTTTGGGTGTCTCGTTAAGTGCTGTGTTGGCACAGACTTCCTTGGGAGAAAGCAGCTGTTGGATACCCGTATGACCTAATTTTTGCTACTTCATGACTCAACGAAAGAAAAGTTGCCAACGCCTTGGTTGGGTACATGTTGGTTTGCTCCAAATTCCAGTAGTCAGATTCACCCCTGCTCTACCATTCGCAGATTCCAATAACTTGCTTGCGGTTTCGTTGTGTGCTGATAAGACTTGCATGTATATACACAAGCACAACAAGGCGGAAGATAGTGAGGCTGCGCCAGCACCTATCACATTGACCGGCCTTGGAGGGTTTCGGAGGAGCTGCTCGTGCTGTGAGTTGCCCGCAGGCAGTAAACGTTTCACCACGGGTGCTCAGCACCCATTGTCGTGAATTTAGCAAAGAAAAGAAATCCTTTGCAATACAAAGCGCGACCATATGCGCGTTGCAGGCGATGACGGGCATGTACATACCACCTGACAATTTCTGCCCTTCGTCTTTCAATTCATGCGTCCACCACTTGTCTGCAACGCTGGCGGTGGTCGAAAAAAGGAAACAAAGATCAACATCAATATGTTCCTGTGTCCATTACAAGAAAGTTTGTGTTCCATTCAGCGAAATATTTGACGCACATTTCCGAATCACACACCCTCCTATATACGCCACCCGCGCGGGTCCTGCCTGCCTGTGTGTCCTACTCTCGTTCGACCCGCAGCAACAACGCCGCCAGGGCCTTGAGGAAGTCGGGGATCGCGCGTTTCATCAGCCGTTTCTTGTGTAATTTCCGGCCTGTGTTCGTACGTATCCACAGCCCTTTTAGAGACCGTCCGAATGGCTCAAGAAAAGGAACTGCGAATTTGAAGCCCTTCCTCGCAAAGCACTGCCCAACTGTTTACGTCATCATTTGCAACCTGCTTTTGGTGTTAGGATTCAGCTGTCAGGGGCGATGCTGCGCAGGGATGGGATGTGCCGCTTTGGTGCAAAAGTGGCTGTGAGCAAACATGAAAGAAATTGGGTCTGTCAACGCACCCACAAAGGGTTGGAATCACATGGGACCAATTAATTGGTCCCATGAGGTCGATCTCCAATATTGGAGATCGACCTCATGATAACGACATGCAATTGGTCTGAAGACATTGGCTTCAAGGGATTTTGGCGCTCGGGTGCGTCAACAGATCAGGGATTGTCAATGCGACGGATGCTGTACACTGCGGCAGGCGCTGCTTATTCGCCACGAATTGCAGTATTTTATGGTTGACGAACAAAAATAGCAATTGTATATGTGGGACAGGAGCACCACCCACCATGCAAAATTGCTTCAACTGGTCAGCTGTGAGCCTCAGTGAAGACGCTTCACTAAGCAGATTACATCGACGATGTGATGGTCGATCGGCTGCGCGACGTAGTCGATCGACCCAGCCCATGTCTTGCAGTGCATCTTCCAGCGTCACTGCAGATCCGCGCCTGGCCTGCCTTCCACATCCTGATGGCATCGCCACTAGAGTGTGCACACACTGCGAGTGGCATTTGGCAAATGGCGCACCACTGACCATCCGGTGAGCAACTTACGTAGTATCCCCTTGGAAACTGTAACTAGCGTTGCGACAAGACAATGCCTCGTTTGCACGCTCACGAAGATCGCAAGTCGTGGCTCCCACGACGTCTATCACATTCTGAGCGTGTACCAACTCCCTAGTCTATATTGTCGTGCAAACTTTGCAGTGTGTTTACCAAATCCCGCACGAAAACTGCTGTTTTTGTATTTTCGTGTTTGGCAGCAGGCGCGCGTCCGAACCCCGCCAGAAAAATGTCCCTTGCCCTCCCAACCAACTGCGGGGCCGGCGCGCAACCAATTGTCAGATCAAGACCTGGTGGTGTGAAACGCAGACCTCGATGCAGCTACAGGTTGTGCGCGGCAGCGACGGCGCCCCCAGCCCCGGCCCCCCACCCCACCACCACTGCCCAGGGCAGGAAAATCCCTGACAGGCGCTGCGAGCCCGCTCTGGGGACGGGTGCCCCCAATGTACCACGTTCGACTGCCGAATAAAGCCTGGCACGCTCCCAAGTTGTGCGGGAATATTGTAGCCCTTGATCTCCCAAAGCCCCGATCAGCGCCCCGACCGTTTCCAACTGCGGTCTTTCCTTCCGGCCAAATTCCACGTCAGCCCCTGCCTTGCAAACTCCGGCCCCTCTTGTCGCCGGCATCAGCCCGCAGCCGTCGCGCCTGCCGCCTCCCGTCCGCGCCGCCGTCTCTCGGGGCCTCGCGCCGGATCGATGAAGGTGCCAGGGTTTTCAGACTTCGGCAAGTCCGCCAAAGGTGATCTGAGGGCAGGTCGCGAGCCCGATGCCGGGGCTGCGCGCGACTGGCCTGGCCACCCCGAGCCACAGTGCCGCTGTGACGCGCTTGCCTCCCCGCGCAAAGCGACCGGACGGTCGATTTTGTGGCGCCAAGGGGCCGGAATGATTTTCTGAGTGCGCGTGGCCTGTGCGGTGCTGGCAGAGGTGCTTTACGGCGGGGGCAAAGGCGGAACCTATCAATATGACCAGAAGCTCAAGCTGTCCTCCAAGGCTACCGATGGCATGGTGGGTGCGGCTTGGCCGGCCGAGGAGGGCCTGCTTGGAAATCCGAGGCTGTAGCGCCTGGGCGGCTTTTGCGAGGCGTGAACGGGAGGCTGAGCCTGCCGATGGCTGTCTTTTGCAGGCGTTTACGCTGAGTTCGACCGTCAAGGGCGACAAGGTGTCGGGGGAATTCAAGTCCTCGTACAGCTATGAACGCTACAGCGTGGACGCGACGGTGAACAATGCCAACAAGGTGAGTGAGGAGATTGTGCGGACCGGCGTTCGGGTTTTGGTGAGAGGTTGGCGTTTGGGACCTGGAGCGGCAGGCCCCACGCCGGGTGGGCGGGCCGTTGATCCGTTATCCGGCAACCCAGGAAAAGCGGCTCCATCCCTGTAGCTCATGTGATGTTGTGTGGAAAGTACAGGTTACAGTGAAGGGCAACATCGCGGACTTTCTGGTCCCTGGCCTGAAGTGCACTGGCAGCTTTGCTTTGCCAGCTACTTCGCCTTCAAAGGTGGGTGCAGCTTTGGGGGCAGGACAGGGGTTCTCTCAGAATGGCCAGCGATCTTACCAACCTGATGGAAGACGTGTGTATACGATATTTGGCCAATCAAAATGGTTGCTGCAACATGAACAACTGGCGACTGATGCCACGAACCTGCTTACATGCGTGATGCCCCGAACAGCACTTCGTTTGTATCACTGTCTCTTTGTCACGATTGAATGGCACATGCATTGCCCCACAGCAACAGCTTTTGGCCTTGGAGATGTGTGGCTCCTGTTGCCTCGTGTGGTGCGTCATGTGAAATTCAATCCTTCTGCGGGCAGGTTGGCCTTCAGTATACCCGGCCATACCTCAACACCAAAGTGGATGTGGATGCGACCACATCACCCAAGGTCACTGCATCGCTGGCAACTGGATATGCAAAAATGCTGTACGGTGCGGATTGCACTTATGATAGTGCCAAAGGGGCATTCTCCTCCTGGAGCTTTGGCACCGTGTATACTGGACCAGGGTATGAGGCAACAGCACTATACAATGACAAGGGGATCTTAAAGGCTCTGCATGCTCAGAACTTGGATGACAAGACTGTTCTTGGGGTGGAGATAGTTCGCTCACTGAAGGACGAAAGTTCCCAGACATTTGCATTTGGCCTCACAAGACTCTTGAACAGTGGGGTCCTTATCAAAGGGAAGGCGGAGAGCTCTGGCGTGACCTCTGTGCTTTATGAGCATCAGATCGAGAAGGGTGTCAAACTGGCTCTCTCTGGCCAGTTTGATGCCAAGAACCTTGACAAAGGTGCAAAGGTTGGCGCTTCCTTGGAGATCAGCTAGACGGAGTTGCCGCCCATGGGGAGAGTTGCTCGCACTTGTTGACACCCAGAAATGCAGGTTGGCAGACAGGACCATTCCAGACACACATGTGCACATGCGTTGATGCACAGCAATGGCAAGTCACAGATTAGGGAGTGTTGGGTACGTTCCCTGTGGGCTGTGACAAACATGGACCTGTTGTAAGTATTCAAACCATTTCAGGCTGTCAGCCCTGATTGTGCGTGCACGCACAGGAAATTTCCTCCTGTCTACCAATTGCATCGCCGTTTGTTATCGGCAGAGTTCTTGATGGACTTGAATTGCAAGCAGCCACTGTTGTAGCCTCACTGTGGTCATTTGCGGTACAACGTCATTTGGCACAACGTTGCGATGGAGCGGCTAAAATTGAGCAATTTGTGGAGCCTGCAGCACCAACAATGCTTCGATCCATTTGGCCTTGACTGGGATCAAAGGGAGTATGTCTATACTACAGGCATCCACTCAGTGGGTCGCTGGCAAGAGCATTCTGAGGATTGAGAGCAACCTCAAGATGTGAGCATTCCTTTATATCCAATGGTCATGCCGTGGTACTGGTGCCTCCCATGGGGCATCCGTTGTTGCCTCATATTGCTGTTACTCGTTGCCTTCAAGCGACTGTGGTGGCAGTGCGCCCAATAGAAAGTTGCAAACGTAGCACATTCTCCAAACAGGCTGTAGCCTTGCAAATTTGTTGGATTTTTGACGGTGCTTGTTGCTGGGGTTCCTAATACTGATACTCGCAGGTTGTATCAGGCATGGCCATTGAGGCATCCACGCATTGGGGCAAACAACCTGGTGGCGCCCACGGGCATTCATTCATTTTACGCTACAAAACAGGTGGCTTGCCGGCTATCTACACCAAGTTGGGAGTGACGAAAGAGGCCAAGAGGTGCACGGGTGAAGGGCGTCGACTTATGATCAAGGACAAGGTGGTGCGATCAGCGCACCCGTCACTGGTCGACTGTGGCTGGCCAGGGTTCGGCATTGTGGACGCCAGAGGATTGCAACACCCACACTGGCTGAGCAGCACGGCGCGGGGTGGTGCTCGTCGACGCCCCGTCAGAAACCTGCAGTCTACACGCGAGCAATGGCATCAAAACTTGTACAAACTACCTATGTACACACACGCACACAGTGCGCACGCACTGTCTCCTATCCCCTGCCCCCACTGCCGTCATCCGTTAGGCGCCTAACCGTCTCTAGCCGTTTCCGGGCCTTCTTCGCCAGGTCCGCCAGGAAACAGCTCGAGTCTTTCAGCATCCTGACCACGGCCGCGCTGCCCGTCGCGCTCTGCGCCAACTCTTCGAACACCCAGGCAACGGCGCCCACGGCGACCATGGGCTCCGCCCCGCGCAGTGCCCTCCTCGCCGCGCGCCCCTCCTCCGGAAAATCGGGTCCCCGCGCCCAGGCCGCCAATCCCGCGATGAAATCCCCGTTTCCCACCTCACTCAGCCTGTCAACCTGCGGTTCCGCCATCCTCGCCGCCTTGGGCGACCCCTGCTCAGCCCCACGCGCTCCGCCATCGTCCCTCGCCCGCTTCCTGCCGCCTTCAGATGCGGGGCTCGAGCAGCCCCGCCCATCCTCCCCAATCAACCCATCCGCCGCCCGGCAACCTCCAGGATTGGATTGCGGCCCAGGCGGCGGTGAGCGCAGCGACCGCGTCCGATGCTCATCGCGGCCGGCATCAAGCGCCCCCCCGTGCGCCTCCCGCCGATCTCCACCTTCGAATTCCCCCGGCGCGCTGGCTCCACCCGTTCGTCTGCGCAAATCCTCCTCACCGATTCCAGCACGACCTGACGCGCAGACGTCATCCGCCACCCCGAGCTCTCTCCGCGGCCCAAACTGGCGCGTCGCGCGCCGATGGGACTCCAGATGGGACTCCGGCGCGCCTACCGCGGCCTTGCCGGTGTGCGGCGAGCTTGGCGGCCCTCCAGGCGACGCCTCGGACGCGCACACCCCCCCGTCTCCAGCCTCCTGGACCTCCTCCGCGACCCCCGGCCCCTCGCTGGAGGCCTCCTGGCTGGACGCCTCGCCCCTGAAGGCCACCAACGGATGGGATGGGGACCCCCAAGCGGCAGATGCGCTGCGCCCGTTCCTGCGCTCCGGGATTGGGGGGGTGGTGATTGGCGCCCCAGGGCTGCCAGTGGCGCTGGGCTGGCCCCAATCCTCGACCAGGGAGTTCAGTTGCGCCCGCAGGACCGCGTAGTCGGGCGCGTCGCCAAACTCCAGGTTCTGCAGGTACCTCGACAGGGTGCACAAGGGGGGCGGGAGGCCGGCCTCCCGGCCGAGCGTCTCGGGCCTGTCCCTGGCGTCGAGCTTCATGGACAGGATCTCGCGGTGGGCGCGCTCCCGGCCCAGCCGCTCCCTGTTCACCCGCCGCCAGGGCAGCGTGCCCGTGAGCATCTCCACCAGCATGTAGAACCAGCTCCAGAGGTCGTCCCTGCGGCCCAGGTCGCGCAGCAGGTGCGCGTTGATGGAGGCGTACGTGGAGCTGCCCTTGAAGCCCAGGCCCTCCGTGCGCTCCGCGACCGCTGCCCCGCTGTCGTCCACAAACCGGCGCGCCAGGCCGAAGTCGATCAGCACCCATCGCCCGCCGCTGGCGGCCACGAAGTTCGCCGGCTTCACGTCCCTGTGCACAAAGCCCGCGCTGTGCAGGCGCCTCAGGGACTCCAGCGTCTCCAGGCCGATCCTCCCGCACAGGGACGCCTCCACGCGGGCGTCCGGCGACGCTACGCGCGCCGCGTGCGTGTGCAGGTTCCGTCCGAAGCGCTCCATCGCGATGAAGCACCGCCCGTCGTGGTAGCCGAAATCGTGCAGGCGCGGCACGCCGGCGGATTGCATCTTCTTCATCGCGCGGTGCTCCGTCAGCACGGAGGTCGTGCTGGCGGTCTTCTCCAGCTTGAGCGCGCAGCGCCGGCCACGGGCGTCCGCGTCGTCCAGAGCGGGCTTCAGGTCGTCGACCTCGAAAACGACGGCGAATTGGCCCTCCCCGAGCACGCCAGTGACGCGCCACCTGCACTCCGCCCCTACTAAGTCTCCCTTCTTCTCCAGCATGCCAAAATGACGGCGGCGGCGCTGCCCGGGTCCGGGGCGGGGGCTTCCAGCGCGCTGGTGTGCGCCGGGCGGGCCGTTCCCGCGGCCATCCAAGTGCCAAACGGCGTGCGACACGGCTGACCCGCCTGCAATGCCAGCGGGAGGCGAGCACAAGGAATCCACCGCGCGGACAACAGGAAGTATTGGGGGTACTGGGGCATCTGTGCCCGATGACACTACAATAAATGGCACTCGGGCTGTCATTCAGTTGGCAACTGAAGGAAAGTACTGTGCGCGGATGTCCACAAACAGGTGGGCAAGTGTGTCTCCGGCGGCAGGAGACACACTTGTGGCGATTTTCTAAGTACCCCCACTGAGATGACCAGTTTGAGGGTGTGTATTATTAGTTGTTTCTTCGATTGATCTGATCTGCTCCAACCTCGTTTGAGTTGCTGAGCATGGCCTGGAATTAGTGAGTTAAAGGCGTACTAATTGCCCTGTTCTGTTTCTTAATGTCCAGGAGTCCGCCTGGAGAGAGCCGCCCATGCTGCAAGCCCCAATGTGCGACCTCCCTGAAGTGTGACTAAGCCGCAACGGAGCCCTGACCTGGGAATGGAGAACTGAGCTTGGAATTCGTCATCAGTAAGCTATTTTGTTATGTACGTTGGTGGAGTGCCAAAGCCGGGACTATGGATTGCATTGGCGGGCAATGTTGACTTCCATCATATTTTACTGATTTGATTGATTTGATTGCTGGATCATTATGGAGAGACGTACTTGTGATTGAACGTGATTGTTGGGGACTGGAATTGCCTGCTGGGGACTGGAATTGCCTGCTGGGGACTGGAATCACTTGCTGGGAACTGAATTGAGCCGGGTGTATTGAGTGTAGGACGGGTTGTACCATGTTGGGGACAAGTATTGGAGAACTTGAGACGTTTGGGGACAAGCTCACGGGGTTCTGTACGGGGATAGTAGCTTTGGAGGCTTCTTGAAAGGTGGCCAGGGCCGGGGACTGGGACACCCTTTTTGGAGTGTAAATACACATGGGACCAACATTCTTGTAACAATCTCTTTCTGGGCCCACCATCGCTGCTGTGCATGTGTCTTTGTTTCCGAACTGTCCTCAGTCAGTGTGTGTGCCGCATCCCGTTTCGCCTGCGGGGAAGGAGGCGACTGCAATGTTTCCCGAAGATCGGGACCGCATTCAATGCCCATCAGCCCGTTGTCGCGGCTGGTCTGGCAATCATGGCTCTGCAGCAGGACAGGCCTGGTCTGCATCCGTCTGGCGCGGCTGAGGTACGTTTCCCGCCACCCACTCGAACAGCCTCGTGAGGGACTCAATCTCCAAGATGGATTTGCCGCCTGCGGATTTGGTCTTGTGGTCGCCATCGGCGAAATTCAGAAGAAGCCGTGATGACCAGAATGGAGCCCACAGTTCGCCCCAGTCTTTGCAGAACCCACAATTAAACCCCACACCAGAACCGTACAACATACACAGCATACGCTCCCTGGGTTCGTGTTCATTCGTTGTGTCATTGCTGCAAGTCCGGCAAGTCAGTGCCCACATAGCTATCAACACCCTCTTCCAACAGTCAGGCATATCTCAGTTGGGTGCCGCCCTATCAAGAGAGCGTTATCCAATTGCCAAGTCCTCTGGCCCATCCATCCCGCAAAGGCTCTACTCCTTCCTGCTCCAGCTGCAACAACAATGGCGCTTATCTGTACACATCTAAATGTCCATGTCATGCTGTGGAAGACGCTGTGTCCCCCACATCCCACCTGCCCATTCGTTTGGCTGCGTCTGATAGACACCTCCGACAGCAAAAGAAATTCAACTGCAAAGATCACCCACATGCTATAAACTATGGTCAGCATCAGCACTACCCATGCCCTATGCAATCAAGTCCATTCTGCCCTTTCTCGCCACGCATCTTTTCAGGGAGCCCATACAACAGCACAGCTGCCATTGCACCCCCGCATCGCTGAGAACTGCACATCAGGTCGCACTTCCGGCCGCATTGCAGGCACGCGGGATCGAGCCTCCATACAGCAGCCTGGCCTGGGAACACCAGCGACTCGACCTGCCCATGCAGCTCAAGAATCGCACACCCAACAAAGGGATCTCCACATTTGGCCGCCGCAGCCCCCTACCAGCCCCTCCTCTTCCCACCCATTTTTATCTCTTGGAGCAGATGCCACGCACAACATCCGTGGCTGCTGCCACAGCATCGCTCTCTCAACGCCACAAACCGCTACACTCCTCGCGCCGCGCACAGGCCTCCCCAATCACCTCAGTCCCTGGAGGACGCCTCACAAACTGTGGATCTCCCGCTCGGCCTCCGCCTCCGCCCCCTCCCCCGCAGCGTCCTCCGCCATTGCCTTGTGCTTCTCCAAGTGCCCCACGACCGCGCTCTTGACCCCGTTCAGCAGGAACACCGCGCACACGATCCTTGTGCACCGCGGCGCGAGGCCCCGCCACAGGCCCCTCAACCCCCCCTGCTCAACGATCGTCCTCGCCGAGGCCGACGCGGTTGCGTGCTCGGGGCGGCACGCGATGTGCGCCTGCAGCTTGGTCTTCACGGTGTCGAACGGGTGGCTGAAAAATGCCGCCAGGACCCCAGACACCACGCCGGACGCCGCTATGGACACCCCGGGGGAGTACCCATCCCTGTCCAGCCGCTCCCTAAGAACAGGGAATAGGCCAAGGTAGCCCGAGGCGTAAACACCCTCCCTCAGCATGCATGTCCCCAGCCCACGGCCGACCACCCTGGGCCCGTGGGTCCGCAGTAGATCCGCCGTCTCCACGCCCAGCGACCGCCCGCTCTTCTGCTGGCGGATGATGACTAATTCGGCCGGCGAGGCGATGAAGGCGGACAGCACACCCGCGGAGCAGGCGCACAGCATGTGGCCCCCCCCGCCGACGTCGCCGGCGGTTGCCATCAACGCCTTCTCCGCCAGGCGGTTGGCGCCGAACTGGGTTGCCGTGATGGGGGCGATGGTCAGCACGTTGACGCCCACGCCGCGGTAGAGGTGCAGGGGGTTGCGCGGCACGGGGCGGCCCTCCTGCAGCGCATTCTTCACGGCCAGCATGGGCTGCATCATGACGGCCTCCACGGAGGCGGCCAGCCCGCCGATGGCAGTGTGCTCCGCCACAGTCACGCGCGACATCGCACCAGCCCTGAAGGATGGACAACGGGCGCTGCACAGCGGGGAGGCAAGCCCACGGGGGACAAACACGTGCCCTGTCCACCGGCCTGCTGCCTCTCCCGCGGGCCGCCACACTCGGAGGGAGGGGAGCGATCGGCGGCGATGTGGGGTGGCCCGGTCGAAAGTAGGTGTGGCGCCTTTGGGGGGCAGCTCCGGTGGAGTCAGCGGAGGGTGGGCGGGCACTTCGGGGAGCGCTGCGACGGGCGGCTCACCTCCCCGCAACCTGCTGGGCGGCTCAGGACGGCCTGCTTTTGACGCTGGCCGCGCTGATGCGGTGGTAACGCGGTGGTGACGCGGCGGTGACACGGCCGCTGCCGGTTGGGGTGCCGATCGAGACCACACCCAACCGGGGACCGCACATTTGCGAGGAAGAAGAACGGGTGCCTGGCCCACCCCAGCAGTCATAACCCGTCTGTCAGCCGCTTGCTCTGACAGACCATTGCACCAACAAAGCGTGTGGCCCCAGGATAATCCAGGGAGGTGATATCTGAACGCACGCCAGTCCTTGAGGCACCAGCCGTGTCTGACACAGTGCAACGTGCTGACATTGATGAAGGCATGCAGGGTCGAGGGGTGGCGACCCCAGGATCGAGTACACGGCCATGGTTTACAACGGAGCGAAGGGACAACAGGAATTCTGTCCCTCCCATCCGGTCCGTTTTGTCAGCGTCCTCAATTCAGTTCCTATTGTCTGATCACATCCATATGCGTCCAGCGGTACTCGATCAGTTTGGTTACAACATACATCGCCACCACTTCATTTCGTTGTGATGCCACTTGTTCATTATTTGCATTGTTTCCCAGCACCTTGCCTCATTTATGCTATGTTGGTGAATCCATTGTCAAGACCTTCTGTGCCGCATGGAACATATAGCTGGTTCAGTTTTGGCACAGCGAATAAAGCGTTGTGCCACAAAGTCATCAGCAGTGGTTGCACGTCCCCATCCAGAACGAGGTTAAATAGATTTGTCAAGAATTCTCTTCCAGCCAAAAGGATCAACCAGGGAGCGAAAACTATGCCGTGTTACGGCTCTAGGATACGACAATTAGGTCATGGGGCAGGCCCTGGGGTCATGCAAAGCAAAAGCTCGATCAACGGTCACACTCTCAAGAGTTCACCTGGGACTGAGTATCCCTTCGGTGACATGACACGCTCTAAACGATGTAAAATGGGCCGCCGCGCCCACTACAGCAAGGGTGTGGCTTAGAAGATCCATGCATGAGATCGCACATCGCAATTGTGACGTCATTTTGCCATCAATGGCGTGTGCGCACGCAAGTCATTCACACATCACTTGCTGCATAAAATGCGACAATGATGATGCACATGAAGTCAGTCATGCAGCACGTAAATTACAGAATTCCCTGACATGGACGGAAAAAGATAAAATGATGAACCCCCAGTGAGGGCTTTGGACTGTTTAGAGAAATGGAGAAGACAGGCAACGCAAGCACCTCAAAAAGTGATGAGCACATCAATGCTGCCTCAACTTCAGCCAGGGGTGATACAATGCATTGAACTTGCGTGAAGGAATGTTCGTCTGATGACAAATGCTATACAATGGACAACATCCTTCTGAGCTGAGCAGAATGGTGTGCCAAGCTCTCATCAACGTTGAAAAGATTATACGAGCGCCTTCGGGCGCGATGGGCACGCACACAACGGAAAGCACCAAGCAGATCAACGTGCATCCAGGAGGCAAAAATATATCGTACATGTTCCAACATAGAATTGTAATAGCAAAAAGGAAGTGCTGTTGCGTTGAACTTCGAGTACATGTCACGATACAGAATGTGGAACAGGAAGACACGGCATCCTTTCGTGGCTCCCCAGTCAGCAGTTGCATAGTATAGTATCCCACACCCCCTTCACTATGTCATGAAATACCCAAGCTGTTGCGCATCATGTCGGGGACAGCAACCAATCAGTCTCATATTGCATGGCCACAATGTTCGGTGGCCAGTTGCTTCCAACATTGTCCTGATCCCTCTGCGTCCGCAAACGCAATCTTATTACACACCACGACCCTTCGAATCCCATTAAAAAAAAAAATCGAAACATGCACAAACGGTGACAACGATGAAACCTACATGCCCGAGACAGAAGCACAAGTGCGCAATACTGCGTGGCAGTCACTTTCTCTGCGTCCAAACCGCGTTGGCTAGTTGGACGTGGCTCCCCGAATGGCAGCTCTGGCCCACATATACAATTGTTGAATGGCCAGCCACAGCCCAGAGAGCCACGCCATCAGGACGACACCCACTCGGTGGGAAAAGTTGGCCACTCGCGCCCACACTGACAGCCACCATTGGTGCCACTGCTCCATGGCATTCTCCCCGTCGAATGGGCGCAAATCAGCTGCCTCCGCCGCCAATGCCGCCTGTGGAACAGACGCCCAGCAGTTTATAATACATGAGAAGCACATTGTTACTCTGGAATAGCGGAGCTTGCCACAGCTAAGCATTGCGACTGCACACCGTATAGTCTGTGCCCTTGAAGTGGTTATTCTGGCACAGGTACCCCAAACCCTCCCACCACCCATTTTCATCAGTGAGTGGTATCGCCAACTGCACAACAAAGCATCTCAGATGGTAGGGAGATGTGGCACCAAAAAGTTGGAATCCTGGGGAAGATACTGCTGGTGACCTTTGCAGGCATTCTGCAGCCCCAACTGACTTGCAAAGTACAATAATCAGCAGAGATGTGCAAGGAGATACATCCAACTCAAAGATTGTCTAGCATGTCCTGCATTATTATATTGGTCAAAAGATCGGGGATGTTGTTCTTCTCAATTGGCAGGGCATTAAGATATGCAGTACTGCAACAAACAGGTGACACATCTTCCACAGTTGTAATCAATGCGAAATTTAGCCAGTTTCAATACAACGGGTGCAGTAACCTGAGCCCCACACAGATGAAGGTTGGCTGGCACCACTGTTGCTGTACCTGGGCTTCTGCAGAATCTTCGTAACCAGCTGCCATTGCTGCAGCATCGGCAGCACGACTCTCAGCTTTTGCAGCTGCTTCAGCAGCCTTCACTGCCCGCGCCTCTGCCTGCACCAAGGGTACAGAAAATGTGGATAAGACCAAAACACCGATGCATGCAACTCACCTGAGAGACACTCCTCTTATTCTTATCGTCCAACTCTGTCTGTACCCCACTGTGCGCAAGGACGACAAGAAACAAATCTCCTTGGCAGAGTCATCTGTATTTGCCACAAGAAGGTGCCACACAAAATGCAGGATGGCAGCCACAGCAAGCATGAGGCTGAGTACCCACCTCCAATATGACATCTGCAGCACCACGTTCCAGAGCGATCTGTGCTGAGCCTGCTGCAGCAGCTGCCCTCTCAGCAGCTGCAATGGCAGCTGACGATGCAGAGGAAGCAGTTGCAGAGTAGGCCGCCGCTTGTTGGGCAGCAAGACTGGCAGCAGTGGCAGCTCTCGATGCAAGTTGAGCACGCTCCCTCAACGAATCCATAGTGTACTGGGTAGTTAATCCTGTGACTTCCTCAGAAGACAGCAATTGATCTTCTCCCGTTTGAGGTGCACCTTCAGAGGGTCCAACAGTCTCTTCTTGTCCTTCTGCTGGCGTGTCAGCCGCTGGTTGTATCCAGTCTAAAGGCGATGCGTCACCTTCAGCAACATCTGCTGGGCCAGCACCATAGCCTGCACATGGAACCCCAAATACCTTTGAGGCCGAGCACAACAGTTTTTTTAAGCATATGCACGAAATTTTAGCTCACTGTGGATGATCTGATCGACATCATGTATTATGCTGCATCGCTGATTCAATGTGGCACTGCTGTTTGATCTCGAGGATGTTTTCATGGCACAAAACCTTTTGGTCGATGTAACGCGGATGCCTGGCTTCCCAGTGCTGTGTGATAGTAGCCCCACATGGCCGTGCTGGTGGGAGCACAGTGTTCTGTTAGGTCTTGGACAAATGTGCTCAGATGCAATTTCCATGATGGAAGGCTCAGGGCTAAACTGACCAGCGTATCCAAGCAGCAGAGGTGGCATTTTCGCACAGCAGTGCTCTTTGTGGAGTTGCGGCTTTGTCCCTGTCAGGTTGGACCAAGACAATGGACAAGCACAACTCAGGCGTTTCCATTCATAGCTCAAACGCCTGATAACTCTTGCAGTGAGCAAACACACAGCACGATCCACATTCATTATGTCCACATTTTTTGACTGTGATGCAGTGTTCTGGGACAAAAGACACTGGATCCATTCCCGCTGTGTGGTTGATGGCAATGCAGTGCCTGGTTGACAACAACCTGATGAGGACAGCGTGTGGATTTGGGCACCTTCTCTTTGCCCACCTTTCACACATCCAATCAAAACTCACCTGCAGTCTCTTCTTCTGAGAGCAACCAATCGTCACTTGGACCTTTGTTTCCCACGGCTGCAGCAGTGTCCAAACCTCCAATGCCACTGTGGGCCTCCTCAGTCTCTGCTTCCACTGCCGAATCTGCCAGGTCCATGCCTGTAGCGCCCACTGTGGTTGCAGTTTCAACTGCCTCTGAAAGTGAATTCGAATTTCCATTGGTACCCTTGGATGCCTGCTTGGTCAAGCGAGATTGCGAAATGTACAGTAATTTTTCTCTCATAGTTGCAGCCGTTGGACATGTCCAGCCGAAAATGGTGAGCTGCTCCTGACCTCGCAGTGCGCCTGCAGCATGCAGGCAGGACTTACTGCCTACTGCTCTTGAAAACGGCATTTGTAAACAAGCACACACTAGGGAAGAGTCAAGGTGTTGGAGTACCATATTCGTGTACTCTAGTGCACCCATGCAACCAGTTCCTGGACCTCTGGCCAAAGCGTCATTGACAGGTGTGGGAAGAAAAGATTGAATCTCACCTAACAGCATCTGACTTTGACACGATTCGTGCCGTCGCTGGGGCGAGAATCCAAAAGAACAATAGAAAACGTGTTGAATCTGATCTTTCTCACTGTTCCTCGGCAGCCCATTTGAAACCAGCCAGTCAGTCCCAGTTTCGAAATGCCCACAAATCTTGAACACAGATCCTTAATACAAGAGAGTGCTTACATGGTTCGCAGACAGGGAGACCCAGATTGTATTCTGTTATCCACATTAGATTGACGACTTCAAGCTGCCAAGTCCAATCCTCAACTGAGACCAGAATTGCCACAGAAATGGGTAATCCGTTTTCTAACCACTGTACCGCTGCCATGCTCAATACTGCAAAACACTTTGCAAGGTCGATTCAGTAGCACTCACGGGAGACGCGGGCACCAGCGAACATAGCTGCAGCCAGTAGGATGATCGTCCCCGTGACAAACAGGAAGAGCCCTGCACAGCAGGACAAGGACTTGTCGTCATGAACAGTCACACCAACACTTCTATTTCACGAGGAATTCGCACATTGTGCCCAACGGTGTGCCAGTGGCTGTCCGCGTTCTTGTCCCCCCTCCCCCCTTCCTGATCCCCTGACGCGCCCAATGGCCCACGAGGCAGCATCGACCTCCTGTGTTGTAACCAGCGGAGCATGACTTCCGCACGCAGATTCACTGATCGCCCTGTTGTGCTCAGCGCGAAGGATTTCAAGCAAGGTGCTGCACTATCCGGCACCCATCAAACACCCCCACGCCCAAAGGCAATGCCTCACCCTTTGATTGCCTGGCGCCCCTTTCCCCCGCTTCCCAGTCCTCCACATGCGATTCCCATCCGTCCTCCCCGGCCCCCTGCCCTGCCTCCGACGGTGCGGCCCCATTCCGCCTGATCTCCTCGGATCCGTACAGCCTCACGCCCCCAACTCCGGCGTTCGAGTCCTTTGACGACCGCATCGCCCAGGTCGCTCCGCCCGGGCAAGCCGGCAAGCTCCGCTTCCTGTTCCATCCAGCGCAGCCATCCCGCAACAGGCGTTCGCCTCCAGCAAGCGGCGCATCGCAGGCTTTGGGAGTCGTCCTGCCGCAGGTCAATGGGCTTCGGCGGGCACCGTACCCCAACCGCGACTCCAAGCGTCGAAACAACTGCATGTCGCCACAATCGCGGCCAGGCCCACCATGCGCCGAAGCAGGGCAAGGGCGGCGCAGACCTGCCGAAAAGGGGTCAAGGCGAAAGAGGGGCGGAGCGGCCGTGCGGCACGCGGCCACGGGCCACGGCGCCTTTTGGGCCTGGGCGTCGCGGACGCGACTTGTGCCACTGGTCCCGCGATGGGCGAAGGCTCGTGCCTACCTACAAACCCTGAGAGCGTCGATGTCCTCGTAGGAGTATGCACAAACGACCTCTTCAGGCATCACTAATTCTCCCGCTAAAGTCTTGCAATTGGAGACAATCCCCGTCTGTGCAAATATGGGGGGATGGTCAGCGTCTCTGGGTAGAAACCCCAGCCTCGAGGACCCAGCCGCTGCGACGGTTGTGGTTCATCAGGCGCATCCCTTTGGATCTGCGCGGGCGCGGATGATGGCCGCTGCGCGGGTCCCCGCCCGCACACGACGGCGTTGGTCGCCATGTTTGCACTTGGTGCCGTTCGGGATGCCAGCCGCCAGCGTTGGGTGCGCCAAAGGCGGTTCACGCCTGAGCAGCTGGGCGAACCTCGCTTGGCCTGCAGGAAGACGGCCAGCAACCGGAGCACGCACGGCGTCGTGATTTACAAATACTGTGGGATGGAGATTGTCCCGCACTGGTGAGCGGAAACGGCGCCGTCATACAATGCTGGGCACTCCTGGCCGGCATTGACAACGCGACAACGCGGGAGGTCCTGTGGCTATTCTGCCCATGGAAGCTTCCAAAGCACTGTGAAGGCCTTGCGCCTGGAGACTATGGTTGCGGATTTGCTCTTCTTCCGCCCCGGCTGTTGTGTCCTCCACTGGCCATTGTGAGCTGATGTACAGCGAATCCTACCGTTGTGGAATGATGAGGAATTACAGACCTGTGCTGATGCATTTCATGCGTGCAGAAATACCATGCACCACTCTGACCACAACGGAGGCACCGGACGCTAAAACTAGTTGTGAATGCTATTCTTGTTAGCATTCGTGCTGTGATCAGTGTCTATTCAGCCTGTTCTCTTCACCCTTGGCCAGTACGTGTGGTTGCTGGTTGTCTTTCCACCAAAGCATTGTGCCTTGCAGCCAAATGAGGACGCCATGTTCAAGTACTGACTGTCAGTGACGATTTGAGCACCATGCATCACCATCTGATGGCTGGCTGGTCAGTTTGTTTGCTTGCCTGCGTTTCTTTTGGCATTTCTGTCCGGCTGGAGGCCCTGGGGAAGGTGGGCAATAGCTTGTGTCAAATTGTATGCTGGGTATCCCCGATGCTGAAATCTGCTACCATCGCAGTTGCCAGGACATGGCAATGCACAGCCTTTGCCTGCACAATATGCGATGACAGGCAACAACACTCAGTTGGCTATATGCAATCATTTATCCACCCTGTCTTGAATGGTTTCTAATTGTGCTGTGCAGTTGGACTCGTCTGTTGCAGCGCTGAGGAGAGGGCACATTTGCATGAATGTCAATGGACCTGAAAACATGAAGTGTGCATACTCGCAGTCTTCACTGAAACAGAACGCACGAGTATCTTAGTGGCAACGAACATCACCAACCATAAGCTGCATCAAGGTTGCGTACAGGCAAGTAAGATTGTGCTGGCAGTGGCTGGCGTTAGTGGAGCCCTGCAAGATAGATGTACTGGCCTTTAGGACTCTTGTTGGCATCTGGTTGTGTTTCAGAGCTGGAGCACATGCATGTCCCACTCACAATTTGTTAGGTGCTATTTGCACAGCCACGATTGCTGTGCAGGAAACTCATTTGCTCAGTTTCGGAATTCAGGCATCAAATCAGGCATCCTGCCTATGAAAGCAAGGATATGGTTGATTACATATATGTTATATTATTATTGTTATATATTATATACTGTATTATATTCTTCTTGTTCAGCTTGTGTGCTGAAAAGTGATTCAGCCTCTGTCAAATGCTGTGTTCGGCTCCCAGAAACGCTGTGCTGGTGGTTTTCCAGCCTTGCCAGGAACTCTTGACATGTGTCGTAGGGTGTAGCAAAGCATGCCTATCATGGCCATAATTGTTCAACGCCGCCTTGCACGCTGCAAGCTTTTGTTTGCCTGGCTTTTGTGGACGCATTTGAAGTCCTTCGAATTGCACGACTCCAATTGCAGTATGGCATTATTGTCATATGCAGGGCTTGGACTGCTCATGCCGCAATGCAGTTGTTGTCCGTTCATCACTGCACTTTGCGGTAAAACCGACCTTGGTCAGCTCGCTTCAAAGACAGTCAAGGCAGGGTCTCCATGTTCAAAGTGCCGACCCTCTGGGGCTTGGGGGATGGCACCCCTTGTGATTGATGGGAGCAGGATAGCAGTCTTAAACAGTGTGTTTCCAAAGCCTGGGGATTGGAGTCGTTTGTGGCCCTTTGCTGAGGCACAGTTTTCAAGGTTTGTTGTGCTAGTGGCGTGCGTGTAGAGAATTTGCAACCCCATGAAGGCCCCATGGGAGGGCTGGCAATTTTGCCTGAGCACATGGCTGTGGTCTGCACTGGTGGTGAGGTGTACGAAGCCATGTGCGGATGAGCACCATGGTCTTGAACGTGTGTGCATTCGGTATAATGTCATGCCACAATAGCCCAAAGCATGGCACTGGCATCCGAGCAAGCATGCGATGGGTTTGCAGGACTCCAGTGAGCTCCTCCACGCCAGATCAGGTGCACGATGGTTTGCACAATTGGAATATTGCCAGGTGTGTTTCACTGTGGCAAGAAGCCCTGAGGATGTGAGTTGGGGCTGCGGTAGACGCATTCTGTGCACATCTCGACACTTTCAGAACCCTTTGCCAAGGCACTGACAGCTGAGGGGTGTTGGTGGGGGACGCTGGGCACAATTTTGTTGCACTCAGTGGCCTGACTGCCCCAAGAGTTTCTCAACATGAAGCTCTAGAACTTGGAACCTGGATGGAGAGAAGCATTGAGCTCCAGGAGGCAGTGGTTGTACCAACAGGCACTGGTGATAATTGCACAACTCGCTCTTTTCACGCCGTCGAGTCGCTCAACAGTCGAACGAACGGACTCCATTGATGGGAACGTGTAGCTATCGCGGCAAGCGTGCGAGTCTGGCGGGAACAGCACCCCCCCAAAGCAGAAACATGCTGGGCTGCGCAGAGACTCGCGCTCCGCGCAGCAACGGCACGCACAGTCTCGTGTCGACGCGACGTTGCGTTGCGCAGTACTTTAAATCTACAACAACTTGAAACAACCCACGCAGGCAACAGTCGCCCACGGGTTCCCCAACAGTCTCGCACCCCAGTCCTCCTCCCCCCCCCCTTTTGGCGAGCGAACGAACCCCCGCGGGAAGGCGCGTGCCCGAAAGGCGCCCCCGCGCCACCCTCCGCGGCCGCCGCCGTTATCTCCCGCCGCTCCCCTTGCTCGCGGCGGCCTCCGCGCAGGGGCTGCCGGTCGCGTTCCCCCGCAGCAGGGCCGCCATCACCTCAGCGTCATCCCCGCAGTACAGCCCGCTGCGGCAAATGCGCCAGAGGGCCTCGCTCCTCTGCACGAAGAGCTCCTCCACGATCAGCGTGGAGTTGTCCAGCACGGTGGCCAACTGCTCCCCCGGCACGTTCTCCGGCCGGACCAGCCGCGTCAAGATGTCCTGGTAGTTGTCGATCGCCAGCGGGCAGACGCGCGCGGCCACGACCACGCCGGCCAGCACCGTCTCGCCCGCCTCCTGGTGGAAGTAGAACGGGATGTCCACGGCCACGGCGCCAAAGCCCTGGAACATGAGTATCATGTCCCGGAACAGCACGTTGGAGCCCGACGCCGCCTCGATCAGCCCCACGCCGCTCGCCCAGTCGACGGACGGCGCCACGCCCCCCTTCGCGGCGCCCGCGATCGTCAGGTTGCGCCTGATGACCACGGCCGGGCCCCAGGCGGCCGCGTCGCACACCAGCGCCCCGCTGACGTTCACCCGCGCGGTGGCGTTGGACTCCAGGGCCGCCCGCAAGGCGCCGCAATCCTCCACCGCGCGCACGCCCGCCTGATCCATCCCCGCCGCCCCCGTCGCGAGGATGAGCGCCAGCAGGCGCCACAGCCCGATCGCCGCACTCCCCGCATCTTCCGGCGCCCATTTGGCCCCCCCCATTTACCCCCCGTTCCTGGCTACTCGCACAGGCGTCACGGAGCCGAATGCCGGCCCTCCGACACGTGTCCGCTCGGCGCACAGGCCTTTCCGTCGATGGTCACACCGCTGCGCTCGCCCATCCCGACGCCCCTGTCGCTCTACGCCCGACGGCAGATTACCGCCTCGTGTTGGCCGCAGGCGACGGCGGGCGCGCATGTACCCGCTGACACTGTCATGACCCGGGCTCAGGCCGGTGAGCAGGCGATACGTGACCCGCTGACCCATATGTAAGATTTCTTGATGACTCGCTGACCCATCTCCACGCGCGAGCGCGCCGGGGAATGTCGAGATGCTGAAAACGGCGCGTTTCGCCCCGCGTTTGAGGAAGCTGATCCGATCGAGCCAGCGGCTGGGGCCGTTTCGGCCCGAGGGCGCGAGCGCGGGACGCCGGCGGGGGCCCCTGCCGGCGATAATCACTGCGACGGGCCACATCGGCGGGGGAAGTCACGCATCGTCGCACTTCGCCAATTGTTCGCTGTGGCGTCCGCGGCGCGATGTGCCTCGCCCGCCCCTGCGGGCGCGTTTCGCCCCTTGTTCTTTGCTCTGTTCGCCGCGCGACCATGCGTGGCGCTTGCATTCACCGCCTTTGCAGCACGGAAAAGGGCTTGGGCAAGTTCAGTTGCTCACAGCAGTGGCGCACCATGACCGGACAAGAACAGGCCAGCTGTGTCATTTCGTGCTCAACAGATCAAGGGCACGTTCGTGGAATGAGCACGGCTGGTCATCGCGAGCCACCGCGACAATTTTATGCAGTCTTTGAATGATGAAAATACAGAGCCAGAAAACGATTTTCCAGCATAGCACACTGTGTCTCAGATGTCATGCAGTATTTGGGATGAAGAAGCCGGGAATGCCAGGTGCCACAAAAATGGCGCAGGGAATGCGCTTTTGGAACCGTGGATATGTGCAGCTGAGTTGGAACTTTGGACGCCCAGCCACGCGTCCCTGGCAATGCCACGAGTGGGCGGTCTGCTGTTTTGGCCCCCTGAGGCCAGGTACGCCATCCCGTTGTTGAGATGGAAACACTGCACAATTAGTCAAGCGGATGCCCCAACCCTCCCAAAGCCGCACGCGCCTCTCTCACTCAGCCACAGGCAAGTGTAAAGATCGGTGCCGACCGACAGCACGACCCTTCGGGGCTTGCACAATGGAATACAACATGCGGAATCGCAATCACCGCGTCGTATAGCGATGGAAATCGCTTCACACAGGACGCTGGGCTTATCCCTTTGTAGAGAACCGCCCGCCCGACCTTCAGGTCCCACCCTCGAACCGAGAGGCGGCCTGTTGAGGTGCACCGACCGTAAGGAGCAAAATTCTTACGGACCGGGGGCGGCTACAATGCGCACCCCCGCCACTTTATACATTACCGCAGTCAGGTTCATACGACAAAACGAAAGGTCCACAAAAAGGTCCACCTAGGGATCCAGATCCTTCCCACAACCACACAGCTGGATACCCTCGACCACACAACCAACGCACCGCCCTGCTGGTCATTTCGTCAGACTCCTTTGATCCCATCTTTCCCTACTAAGTCAACTTCAGCTCACCACCGCCCGTTCACACGTCCTCAGACCATCCCTTTGATCCCATATACGGTCTCATCGATACTTACATGTCACATCAAAAAATGTTTTGTCCGGCGGCCGCACCCAGCGCCATGCGCTGCCCCTGTCACCCATGCCTCTCCGCCGGTGGCGTATCCTCATGGTCGAAGTCAGGCCTGGGCTGGTACCCCTGAAGCCACCCCTGGACTTCCGCCCGGACGGCATCAATCCTCCACTTCTCCTTGATCTCCATATCACGCGCATGCCATTCCCCAATCGCCCTTCGCAGAGCTGGTGAACGCATGTCCTTCCTGTGACGTGGCTACTTGGGGTAAGGCAGTTATTTGACATTTTCTGGAGTAGGATTACGTAATTGGCCAAATCGACCTTTTGTGAGTGTTATTAAGAGCTTCCTGGTTCCAACGAGCTTTTAAACGCCCGATTCCGTTAAGAATTGACGAAGATATGGCCTTCTGAAGTCACAGTACTTAGGGCCAGGGGGTCGGGTGTGAGATGCTTGGAATTAGAGGACATTGGGTCGATCATAGGTGAACGGTGGACGGTGACGATGTGCCTGGACGCGCACTTGTGTTGTCTTGTCTTGATGTGACCGCGATGGACCCGCGATCGGGCATTAGAGGTGGCCACACTCGGGTACCGTCCGCTCCGTTGCGTCCGGTTCGTAAAAGTGAGTGTGATATTCGTCCGGTAACATCCGGTCCGCTGTTTGCCGTACTGCCGTCCGCAGAATCCGGCTCTCACTTTTTCTTCACCGTTATTTGCCGTTAAATTAACGGAGGGCGTGCGCGGCGTCCGGTCCGTGACAAAACATCCATGGATTCATAATTTTGGTCCGTTCTGTCCCGTAGGTACTTGCTTTCCAGCCACGGCAAGGTCAAGGCGAAGTTGCCAGGGGTTTCCATTTTGCAGCAGCTCGAATTGTGTTGGTTACACGCTTCATAAACGTGTGTGGGCGTTTTCCAGGTCATGTATTCTGCGGTTTGTAATACATGGAGTGTTTTGGAGAACTGAACAACACACAAGCCGTGTGTAAAGTTCCAGTGTATGGCATGCCAACCTGCACCACTTGCTGCGGCTGGTACTGCTGCATGGTATGCAGTGCGCACCACACTCCCATTGCAAGTCTTCCCGGCCATTGCAGCAAGGGTTCGGCATAGTTGCAATACCAAACGCGGACACACAAACACCCACATCACTTGAGGCAGGCGGCAAAGAGGGTTCACCTCTGAACACAGTTGAGCCACTCAACATACTTGGGAATGGGTGATACGTATCACATATAGCGATGGGTTGCTGCGGCGGTACTCCACAGTTTCCACGCCAGGGCAGCGAGTGTAAAGCCCATCCAACATAGTACGTCGAAGTTCAACAGCTCAACACATGAAAACGGGCAATGAATAATACGAGGCGTTATTTGTTATCGTCCATCTCTACCTATTGCACCCTCACTGCGGCGGTACTCTAGAAGTTTCCACGCCAGGGCAGCGACTGTAAAGTCTATCCACCAATCGCGGTACTTGTTGGGACGCATTTCTTGAATAAAATTTTCTTCTATCTATATGATACCCAAGGTTCATCCACCACTCAACATAGTGTGTTCAATGTGTGCACATCAACATAGGACAACGGAATATTACAAGTCATGATATCTTATCTTCTATCTCTATGGTAACCGCACCCTTGCTGCGGCGGTACTCCACAGTTTCCACGCCGGGGCAACGAGGGTGGTCACCGGTGGTGATCCAAACTTTGGAATCCAAAGTCACTACTTCCCTCCCTTTCCTCCCTTCCCTCCCTTCCCCCCCTTCGTGCGTCGATGCGCTAGCTTCTGCTGCGACCATCCACTCTCTGCCATCTGCCACCCTAGCAAGCTTAAATGATCCACGTTCTCGGGCTTGAGAACCATGCGCTTGGCCCGAACTATTAGACCGGCCTTGGAAAAAGATGGTTCACTACTGGCGCTGGAGGCCTGCAACACAACCAAAAATACTCAGTACTTCTCAGCCTGTGAACTTCATAAGGGCACTGTGGCATGTATGCACAGCCAGTTGTACTCAACCACTCACCTGTGTTGCTAGTATTCGACGTGCAAGCCTAGCCACCAAGGGGAAGCTGGTATGATTCTCTCGCCACCAATCCCCTGCACTCCATTTCTTTTGATACTCACATGCTGGTGTCCATTTCAATTCAAACCACCTTTCGACTTCGGCCTCGATGGGGTCCATATGCTGTGGGGAGGATGGGGCCCGTCTTCTCCTCTTTGATCGTCGGAAACGTACAATGCACGGCCCCCTAAAGGTAACAAAGTGGTAAGACTTCCCCAGCCAGGTGACGGCGGGTACTGCCAGATAATGTTGGTGGCATGTAAGCAAAGACGATGGGTATTGCAGCGACAAGTGGTGCACCCTGTGCAGTGCATGGCCACATGGAAGGAACCAATTGCCAAGGTTTCCCCAGCCAGGTGACGGCGGGTACTGCCACAAAATGGTGATGCCACATAAGGAAAAACAGGCGATGGGTTCTGCAGGGACATACAGCATACCCTGTACAGTGTGCAGCCAAATAA